AGGGGGCAGGGCTGGAAGAGGGGCTCACGGCGGTCCTTTTAGGACCGGTACCGCCCCACATGGCGGCCGGACGTGACGGTGGTGGCTTGGAGAAGCCACCGGCTGTGCAGAAAAAAAATGAAGGGGGAGGGGCTGTTCGCACGGGAGGGAGAGAGAGAGAGAGAGGAAGAGAAATTCTGGTTTTAAAACCAGTTTTTCTAAATTACAAAATTTGCCCCTCCAAGTATTTAGATCGTACTTTCCTCGTTATAACTCCGATCCGAGCCCACTACGTGTCTACGGACTCGTTTCGACATGCTCTCCGCACCGGTACAGTCGAAATTCCCAAATTCCTTCCCGAACTTAAAATGACCTTTTTGCCCCTTTTTAAATTAAATAATATTTTAAATTTTCAAAAACCTTAATTTATTCAAATCATTTTATTTTATTGTTTACTCCAATTTATTTCCTCTTAACTTAATTATTTTACTTCCTTTTAGGACCGGGATGTTACATATATTAATGGTGTAGATGAACTGTTAGCAAAATATATATGGGATATAATGAATTTGATAGTAGCAAGAGAAAAAAGAGTGTATTACTAACCATCATAGATCCACTTTTCCCAGAATTTGAGCTGCGTCCCACTCGGAAATGCAGAAGGGATATCAGCCAATGCGAATATAGGGGATGTTGTTCCCTGCGGAGAATTAGCAATTACCAATCGTGGGCAACGCTGAAGTAATTCCCACGCAATATCTATATAGAGAAAATAGGAACTGTTAAAGTTAAAAGCTTGAGTAATAAATGAGTAAATAATGCAAGGGGGGCTTGTAGCTCATGTGTTTAAGAACAGTTATCCCTGCACCCTATGTCCCAAGTCCCCCTATCCCAATATTGTTTGTATAAAATAAATAAATAAATAATGTGGGTCAGGGTTGGTTGAGAATTTTACCAAATTGTTTGGCTCGTAAACAAAAGCAAACAAGCCCAGCGCCATAAGGGCCATTCTCTGGCATTAAGTCTTGGATCGGAGTGAGGGAGTAGAGATAACGAACGATATCCCATAAGTCCAACAGAGCAGCGAAGAGAATTGGCGTCTTACCATCTTTCACAATGCCAAGTAGTTTCTTGTTCTTTGTAACCATGCATTCAACCATTTTGAGATTTAATCTTGCAGCAAGATGAAGAGCTGTCCAATTATCATCTTCCACAATTTCCAAGTCTTCCGGTGTCATCGACTGAACCAACTCTTCCACAATATGCTCATGTCCGAACTTGGTTGCAATGTGAAGAGCTGTCGACCCTCCTGTTGAATATCTTGCTCTTATTGCATTGGGATCTCGGGTAAGAAATTCCTTCGCTTTACGCCAATCACCGAGCTTAACAGCAGCGAAGAAAGGTTGATACGGATCATGCTTGGCAGCAATTGCAGCATCTGTCGAGTATATATATATATATATATGTTTGGACATTAATGCTTCTCTGTTTACCATTGTTATATCAAAATAACAACTCTAAACTAAAATCATATCATCCTTGTTTTAGTAGGCTGAATAAAGTTGATACAAAGCTTTTCTAATTTGGAAAACAGGTTTATATGTTTTCAAATTAAGTCTTTGCAAGGATGGAGAACAGTTTAAGAAGTTGCTAAAAGTAAACTGGAAATCATACCATCCTTGTTCTATCACCCTTAAAATCATACCATCTTTGTTTTACTATATGTTGAATGAAGTTGGCCCTTGATATTGTCTAATAAACTACTACTAGTATTTTAACAATATACCTGGGTTGGATGATGAGTTTGCAGACTGAACAAATGAATTAATTAGGAGTGATGGTTGCGGTGTGAACTTTTCGGCCAAAGTATCCCAAGCAATTTTGGCTGAACTAATCTCCTTAATCACTGAAAAAGCATCAGGCCCGCACGAAACTTGGATCGCATGTAAAGCTGTTGCATTCTTCTTCCTCCAGGCCTTGAACTGATCATCAGCTTCTGCTTCTTGTTCTGGTTTAGGAGGTTCAGGTGTAGCCTCTACTACTTCCCAAAGGTCTTGAGCAACCAAATAATTTTTCACCAATGCACTCCAATGCTCATAGTTATCTTTGTTAAGAAATTCGACAACAATTGCATCAGCAGGAACCACAGTTTTCACCATTCTTACTGCTATTCACAACCAGATATGAGCGGCCGAAAGCTGACCAGGCTTGCTATTTTTGTTGTTTTATATTTAGGTCTCAGATATTTTACAACTCAGCTAGAAGAGATCACATCTTAAAGTAGTGTGGTTGAGTGCATTGGTGAATTAAGAATCAGGCATTTATTCTTTAAGTACTTATAATTACATTCCTTCTTTTTCTTTCTCTTTTATATCTGGAGAGTATCGCAAGTATACTAATATTCCATCTCTTACGTATACCCAAAGAAATTAAAAGAGAAAACGAAAAAAGTCCAAAGGATTCGGCATAACGAAACAAATCATGAAAAATGGTTATTGCTCTATATGATAACGAAACATATATTCAAATTCAAGATTCCATCATTTTCTAGGGAACTTTAATCAAACACAAGATTATTAAAGGGTTTAGATGTTTCCGAACTATGTGGGGTTCTTGGCATGTCCATAAATACATACATGATATATTGAATTTTGAAGAGACTTTATACTAACTTGATCGCACTCGTCGTATCTTCCAAATGACAGGATTTGGCAATATTTACTAAATCTATTATTAAGCAGCTTACTGTGGATTTGAAGCGTATATATGATTTGGGAGTGCAAAAAATAGCGGTTACAACAATAGAGCCCCTAGGATGTCTTCCCGGCATAACTTCCTTTCTTTCATATCAAAACTGCAATGAATTTGCCAATATGGCTTCAATGTTCCACAACTAGATTCTGCTTCAAAATTGGAAGAGTTGAACAAGGAGACAAATAATTCTGCATTTGTCGACTTGGATCTCTATAATGCGTTTATGTCCGCATTGAAGCCCCCAAAACATCATCAAGGTAATAAATCCCTTTTCCGCGAACGCTAATTGATCCCTTCTACTAGTATTACTTTTGGATAGTGCTATTTGTTTTATTTACTGATCACTTTGCTCGCCGCCTTTCTAATAAAAGTAGGCACCATCCATGTGGATTCTCCTTAAATATGTTTATAAGGCGGTGGTCAATAAATGTGGTCCTACTCATGTATATATGTCTATACTTGATCACATTCTTTTTTGGGTAGCAGGATATTCGACATTCCAGATTAACACACTAAAGCCATGTTGTGTTGGGTTGAGCAATGAATACTCATGCGGGAGGGTGGATCAGACTGGTGCAAAGAAGTACATTGTATGCAATAACCCTGATGTTTCTTTCTTTTGGGATACGGTACACCCTTCGCAGAATGGTTGGCATGAAGTTTATGCCGCTATAAAACCTTCTCTTCATCAATTGCATTCGTGATGTATAGTGTAGTTTAGAAGTTGGATTGCATGAGAATCGCCCAATATATATCAATTGGTATGAAGAGACTAAAGATAGGGTTGGATTGCATGAGAATTGATCAATGTTTTCTTTGCATGAGAAGTAGTAATTAACTTCAAACAATATGATTTTAAGCGAACCTAGCTTGAATAAGAAAGAAAGTGATACTAGAAAACCTTAATGGTCATCAACGCTTAATAAAATGCATTCGCAATCCATTGAAGAGGTTCACTACAGTCAGTGGCGGAGCCAGGAATCGTACCACAAGGGGTCTTAGTGTAAAAGTCCGAATAAAAATTTATGATAGAAAAAAATATTGAAAATAAAATCATAGTACTTTCCTTTATAATTCATAACGGAAACAACATTACAAGCTATAATTGTCTACGACAAGGTTTCATAAAAAATTTGTAGATATGATCTTCGGACCTCATCTCTCATATTAGCATCATAATCTATCATTCAAGTTCTTAATCCAGGGTCCGCTTGAAGATTACCCAAAACATCATCTAATTGACTTTGTCTTGAACTCGGACCCAAAACACTATCTAACTGACTTTGTCTTGAACTACCAACATTATCTGAAGTTCTGAACTATCAACATTATCCGAACTACCCGAACCCGATGATGACTTTCTCTTAAAAAAACCGTTCCATAATAATGCTACATATACAAAATAATCAAAATAAATACTCACAACATAAACAAACCATCAACATAATCAAAATAATTATGAATTGGATTTCAATTAAATTAAATATATTCTACATATACAAAATAATGAAAATAATAACTCACAATATAAACAAAGAGTCCCGTTCTCTTGGACCGTCCAAGAGACTTTTAGTCACTCACCCTTAGATCTAATCTAAGGGCTAAGAAAAACTAATTTATAAAATCTATTTTGTTTTACTATTTACTGACATATTAAATTAACTTAAACAAAAACCAAAAAGTCACTCATAGTAAAACACGTTCATCTTCCCCCCACCGCTCGCCGCCACAGCACCCATCCCCATACTTCTGATTTATCCATGGAGAAAATTTATTTTGATTTTGATTTAGTTTGATTTGATCCATTGGATTAGTGATTGCATTTGGTTCTAATTTTCTGTATGCTTTCGAATCTGGAGTTAATATGTAAACCTAAAAAGTGTTTAATTTGATCATTCATATGCTATGGCTTGCTTGATTGCCTGTATGAATGTTTTGGATTAGAATACCAAGTTTAAAGTTTTAACTATGGTTATTCATTAAAATATAGTATGCAGAAATATTCCTTCAAATCAATTGGATTTCAATTAAATTAGTTGGGAGGAGATGGAGTTGAGGGTTTGAGGGAGGGGGGGATTGAGTTGGGAACTTAGGGTTGGAAGGAGAAAACAAAAAAATTTGGGGGTTTTAGAATGGAAGAGTCGGGTCTGAAGCAGTGCCTAGCTAGAGAAGGATACGCTGGCCCTTTTTTTTTATTTTTTTAAAATTTCAGACCTGGCCCAAAACGACGTAGTTTTGGCCAGGTCATTTAAAAAAAATTCCCTGGGACAAAACGACGTCGTTTTGCCCAGGTTGTTTTAAGAAAAAACAGTCCCATGCGCAGCCTTCTTCTTCAGGTTGCAAGCCCTTCGTTCTTTCAGTCATTTCGTCGACCACTTGGTGTGCAACTCCAAGAGGTCGCACCAGCAGCTCCAAGGGACCTCTAAGCTTATTTCCATGGCTTCCAAGAGGTCGTGCGACCCCACTGACCCCACTGTGGCTCCGCCTCTGACTACAGTAAACACCATGAGAAAATTAATGTACGTTCGAATGCCAATTTTTCTTAACTAATCGTGAATGAAGTGTGTGTTACATTATTGAACAGATGAGCTTTTTATTTGATTTATTTATTCATGCAAATTAGATATTTAACAATTTATTAATATTTTAGGGGACATATCATGGCTATTGATCTGAGTTGCAAAAGGTTACAAACTCTAACAACTACACCACACTAGGCCTTTATACCCTGAAACTACATCTTTGTATAAGAATTCTATGTAATTTTCAATTCCTTCATCCAAAGGGAGGGTACATAGCAACACCAACAACTCAATCACTCAAAAATCACATTAGAAGGGAAGGTTCTCCTATTCAACAATATCTTCCAAATTGAAGAACAATACATACAAAGTTATACAATTTTTCAAGAATTTATATCCACCGTCTCACTTTCTTGTCAAATATCCCTCCTCCATATGTTGAAATGAAAATCTCAACAAGAAGGGGAAATTGCATCCAAATAAATAAGGTGACTGGAATGCTGGCGAGGAAAATGATTGGAATGACAATCCGTAGTCTTTCATGAAGCATAAGGAAAAGAGCAGAACAAAAGGCAACCATCATGGAAGCGATGGAGATAAAGAGTGTTGAAAGGCCGATTATCATCTTTGTGGGTAAGGATTTTAGGAAATCGTCTTCTGCATATCGTGATGTAAGGATTCCCAAAAACATCAACACTGAAGTTGTGGAAGAAAAGAGTGATATAGCGTCTGAAACTATAAAAACCATAAACATCTTTTCATCTAAGAACAAGGGAAAGCCTGTTCCTCCATTGTTTCCACCAGGAACCGTGAAGGCTGCAGCAAACATGATGGTAATAGTGAGGGCACCTACAACTGTACAAGAAGTTGCTGTATCTTTCATCCACTTTTCTCCTTCTTCCT